CACACGGGCCCTATAGCAAAAACCTCCCCCCCAAAAAATAAAATAAAATAAATAAATAAAGTTTACTAAAATAATTCTTTAAAAATAATTTTAAAAATAAATAAATCCACAAGCTATCAAGACCCCCTGAGCACCCAGGTCTCTGTTCTACTCCCCAGTAATGGTGGGGGCTGCTACCTAGGAGATTGGGTCTATCAGGTGCAGCCTTGGGGGTGCCGTGCAGGGTCTGCCCCTGCAGGGGGAGCTGTGAGGGCGGCTGCGGAAGAGAAATCAAGATGCGTCTTGACGTACCTTCCCAAGGATAATGTCTGAGAGGCCGGATTTCTTCAGGAAAAGTGCAGCTTCACTCGCCCCAACTCGCCCCGTGTACGCTGGGTCTACCTGAAACGGGAGAAGCCATCGATCGCTGAGACAGCTTTTTAGCAACTGGAGCAGAAGAGAAAACGGCAGCCCTCCCACTGACGGTGGCTGGTCATTCAGGCACTGGGGAAAAGGACAAAAGGCCTCTTTGTCTGGGCCTCAATTCAGCATTTTCTTTCTGGTTCAATCACTCTCTAGTTCCAGCTAAAAAGACGGTTGAGCCAGCAGGTGGAGTGGAGGTTAAAGCACTGGATCCCACATGGCCAACACTATGGTTTGAATCCTGGATCCAGTGGTTTGAAAAACACGCAAGAGAGATCAGCAGTTAGCGTAATGGCTATGTTGCTGGACTCCCATGTAGTCGAATGCGGTTCAAGTCTTGGACCTGGTGGCTTAAACTCACGCTGGGCACGTGTGCATGCGTGCCCAAGATCTCAAGAGGAGAATGGAGGAGAAGGGATTGCGGCGTGGCCATCCCCCCTGGGGGGTGATTTCTCGCTTTCTGTCTCTCTCTGTCTTTCTGGCAAGCGCACGTGCACTGTAGCAAAAACCTGTCAAAAAAAAAAAAAGCACGCAAGATGCGTGTGCATGCGTGCCCAAAATCCCAAGAAGAGACTGGAGGAACAGGGACTGGGGAGTGGTCAGCCCCTGGGGAGTGTCTTCTCATTTCTCAGCCCCTCTCCCGTGTCTTCAGAGGGTACAAATGCCCTTTAGCAAAACCACACACCAAACAAACAAACAAACGGGTTAAACTTACCTGTTTGTAATAAGATTCATACAGTGGATTTCCAGTGGGAATCTGTAAAAAAATAAAAAAAAGAACACAACAGAAATTGGTCAAAAGTGGACATATTCCTATATGGGGAAAAAAAGTGTCACCTCATCCCTGGAGGGAAAAACGCAGTGCTGCCTAAATTTTGTCAGGATAGGTTAAGCGTCCCTAATCTGAACATCCAAAATCAGAAATATTCTCAAATCCGGGGCTGACTGGTGGCATGGTGGTTAAGGCGCTGGACTCCCACACGGCCGACCATGGTTAGAGTCCCGGGCCTGGTGGCTTGCTTTCTCACTTTCCCTCTCTCTCTTTCTCTGTCTCTCTTTGATCAAATGAAAATAATAATAATAATAAATAAAGTTAAATAAAATAATTCTTTAAAAAAAAGAAGAAAAATATTCTTAAATCCAAAACTTCTGAATGTCGACAAGATGCATGCCATAAGCAGAAGATTCCACACCTGACCTCATATTACGGGGGTTGCGGCCAAAACACTGCAATACAAAATACTAGCTAAGGGGCTGGGGTGGTGTGGTTAAGCCGCTGGACTCCCACATGACTGGCTACAGTTCGAGTCCCGGACCTGTCAGCTTGCTTTCTCACGTTCCCTCTGTCACTCTCTCTCTCTCTCTCCCCCTAGTAAGCACCCGTGGCACATGTGTATACATGCCAAAACTTCATGGAGGAGGGGGAAATAGAGGAGAGGGGATTGGGGCATGACCATGACCCTTTGGGGAGGTGCTTTCTCCCTGTCTCCCCGCCCCGTAACATTTAAAATAAATAAATTTTCTAAAAATAATTATTTTATTTAAATTTACTTATTTATTTTGATTTGACGGGGGAGGGGGGGAGACACACAGAGAGAGAGAGAGAGAAGGAAAGTGAGAAAGCAAGCCACCAGGTCCAGGACTTGAACCACAGTCAGCCATGTGGGAGTCCAGCATCTTTAACCACCACGCCACCTGCTGGCCCCCAAAATACATTGATTTTAAAATTAATAAATAAATCCGAATATTCCCAAATCCACAACAACCTGAAATCTGAAACACTTCTGATCCCGAGCGTTTTGGATCACGGATAGTCGACCTGAACCATGATACACGTTAGTGAAAGGCAACATGAATGCGCTTCAAACTCACAGCTGAGCTTATGTTCAGACCGCACACCAACGCTTTCTCGATTTAGGAACGGAAACGCGAATGAACGTCAGGAAATCGGAAATCCAGTGCAAACGACGCAGCTGCCGCTGCAGCAGCAGCCCAGAGACGGTGGCCACTGCCCGAGCGCCAGGATCCCCATTCTTTCTGTGCACGGAGGGAGAGGCCGGCCAGTCCTCTGAGATCGCTCGCTGGCTCCCGCATGGACGAGGAGTCTGCACGTCAGTCACCGTGAATCACCAGGCAGGCAAGCTTCCAATGGCTTTCCCTGCCCCTGCTCGGATTCTCCCATCCCATCCCGTCCTTCCTCCACCAGCTACAGGGAAACTGCTCAGGAACGCCCGGTAACTGGCCTGCACAGGGGAGAGCTGGCCAGTGACCGCTCCCACGACAGCCAGGAGGCAGGTCAAAGTCCTCGGCTCAGCAGTGAAAGACACTCCCAGGCCCAGCCCCTCCAGTCCCCAAGGCATCGCTGGTCAGAGAGGGCACACCAGGCTGCTCTGGGCTCACGCTGTTCATCTAGGCCACGCCTGGATCCAGCCTGGCAGGTGGTCAAGGCCACATATGACCCACTGCATACCCCACCTTTCTTAATGACCACAACGGGGTGTCCCCAGGTGGGAGGAAGGGGCCCCAGGGACATGTGCCAGCCCCGAAGGAAATTTAGAACGGCTCACAGGGGTTGGTGTTTTACTGCCAGAAGGGGAAGCAGCCCTGTGCACACCTGCCGTTGGTTTACTAAGCAATAAAAAGGGAAAACTGCGGGACCAACTGTTGGTGTAGTGGCTATGTCGCTGGACTCCCATGTAGCTGACCGCGGTTCGAGTCCTGGACCCGGTGGCTTAAACTCACGCCGGGCGTGCATGCGTGCCCAAGATCCCAAGAGGAGAATGGAGGAGAAGGGACTGCGGCAGGGCCATCCCCGCTGGGGGGTGATTTCTCGCTTTCTGTCTCTCTGTCTCTCTCTGTCTGTCTGGCGAGCGCACATGCCCT